CCCCGGGTGCTCAGTGGGTTATCGAAGTGCAGGCAGGCGGCCTGAGGATCCCAGCAACTAAAAAAGAAAATAATAAAGAAAACGGTTCTTGTCTGTCATCCTAATAAGAAAAAAAAAGCTTTGATTTCCAGTCAGCGGTGGTGTGTTACTTACCTGGCTGCCCTGAGCTGGGATCTAGTGCTGGAAGGGCAGTAAAAAAACCGACTGAAGACAAAAGGAGGAGTCCGTGGGGAATTGTACTTCCCCTTTCCCTCCCCCTACTGCTGTGTCCTCTGTGCCGGATAAATCGGTAAGCCTGTGAAGTGGTCCCACTCGGACCCTTCTGTAGACGTGCCGAAGGTGCGGGTAACGCTGCGCAGGGGCGAAGGGGGAAGGCTCCCGCTCGCCGAGGGCACATCTGCGGGAATGTGTAATCTTCCGCCGCAGAAGGTGCGGGTGTTTTAAGGAGGAAGTTCACAGAATCGTCATCATCGTTATCCTGTAGCAAAAGCTTTTTTTCATAGCTCTTCAGAGTTACAACTTGTTTTTTCGATGAGGACTAGTAGTACTAGCATAGAGTTGCCTTAGTTGGTTTAACAATGCTCCTATCTATGTAATTCACTTACATTAGAAAACAACTTTTGAAATCAGATTATCTGAGATTTTTTTTTGCCTTAATATCAAAGACAGATTTGAATTTTGCTGGCTTAGATGCTTGTAGGAAGATGATCTTTTTATTTGCCAAAGATGAAATAAACATTAAATATTTCACTATAGAAAAGAAAATTATCCCACCAGTTCATGAGTCATAATTAAAAAAAATTGCAGTGATACGTGACATGGTGAGTTTCACCATGTGCTTTCTTTTGTGAGTTTTCTTTAGCAGGTATTTTTGCATAAGCCAGAACTTCTTTATTTGAAGTGACAAATAGCTGAATGAACTGTCTTCAGCTTCTGAATGTATTCTGTCAGAGATACCTTTTTAGGTGATGCTAAAATATGCTGATTTCAACGTAATGGTTTCATTCCACCTAGAGGAGGGTTCCTGTCTTGAGAGTGGCTGTAACATTCAAGTAGCTTTTTCCATCCTTGTTTTCTTATTCTATCCCAGTGGCAGCTGCTACTGTAGGTCACCGTAACATGCTGTGACAGCCACAGATCGCCCTGGAAGTCAGTTAATCAGTGCTGATGAAGTGTTCCTTGTGTGTGGGCATACTGAAGGGAGAGAGCTAATCTAATGTGTAAATCTGGTGGTGGAAATCAACTAGGATCACCCCAATACAAAGGGATTGGGTCCTAGGGCTAGAAAAAGCAGTTAGGGAGTGGTGCAATGGATAGGGGTCTGGGTTGCAGTGTGGCAATTCAGTCCAATCTCTGGTTGAGTAACCTGTAAGATGTTATTTCTGTCAGCTTCCACCTATGGAATAGGTGTAATGAAATTTGCTTTTCCTGAATGGGACTGATAAAGCGTAGGTGATGCTGTGCTGTTTGTGTACCATGTGGTCTAGAGTTTCTGCATCACTGAACTCTATCTTCCTCTCACATTCAGTCTCAAGAGAGAATGTGCAGCTTCCTATTCAAGTTATTAACCACTTGCAGCAAAGCTTGCTCATTTTTTGCCTAGTTCTAACTTCTGTGTCTGAGCTCTTACTGCCCTCACTCTTCGGATTAAGAAAAGTCTTTTGCTGTGTGGATTTTGTTACAGAGGTGCTTGTCATCTTTCATCAAGTCATCTCTTAATCTAACTACATAGAAGGAAGGATTATGAGGTTTTATGTGCAAAATCTCAAGCACTACTAAGATCCAGAGTGACCAGAAGTATGAAGTCTTTCTGAAGAAAAAGCAATTTCCTTGATCCTTTTTTTCTTTAGTCCTCTAAGACTGCTTGAGTAGTTAACCAGAGAAATTTAGCTGTTGTTCTCCAGTCTGTTGCTAGAGAGACGAATCAATGGTAGATCAAGATTCTCATGAGCAAGAATGAAGGAGCTCCTTACACTACCAGTGCATCAAATGCTGGTCCTAAAAATCAGTGTACCTGTACTAAGACTACTTAAGACAGTCCTGCATTAGGTGAACCTATGAAAGATGTGTTTGAGTGCCTGCAGTGTAAGAGGCCTGGGCGATTGGCTTAGGAGTTTCTGTGAGAAAGAACTGATAAAAAACATAGCTGACTGTGGGGATCCCTGTGGAAATTCTGCTGGTCTGGTACCAGTAGCAGTTAGGGTGACAGCTTTGACAAAATGCTCTCTGGAGAGTCACAGCAGGAGTGGCATAACTCCAGCTAGCTTTAGGAACAGGAAATGTATTACATGATCCCATAGAACCATGATTTAAGTGGGGAGGTAATACGTGAATGTTGCCTTAACTTTTTAATACTGTCAATCCCTTTCCCTGGAATCCTTTTCCTGTTTTCTGCTGATTTGCAGTGGGAAGGGACATGATTTAGCCATGGCAACGGGACGGCCATAAATGTTCTGCAGGAGTGTTAATTACTTTGCTTTTTGTTCTAGGCACAGTAAGCTGCACATTTTTCCTGGCAGTTAACGGTTTGTATTCGGCCAGTGATGATGTGATAGAGCTAACACCAACTAACTTCAACAAGGAAGTCATTCAAAGTGAGAGCCTGTGGCTTGTGGAGTTCTACGCCCCATGGTAAGAATTACAGCTGCGTACTTGCTTGCTCTTATCTTGGAGGAGCAGTATAGGAATCTGCTGCTGATCAGTTCAGTGTTTCATTCAGTTGTTGGCAGTACAGCTATTAGTTTGATGGCCTCGTGACTAGCAAAATAGCTGTAGTTGGGATTTCTATTTTAAATAGCCTCACCAGGGAAAAAGGCGGGAATTGGTTTCAAGTTGGCAAATAGGGTCTAACAACAAAACCTTCTATAACATTTTACTACTTCAATTCTTCTACTGAAATTAGTTTTTAAAATGACTGATCAAAGTGCCATAAGTAAGTGAGAAGGCCCCTCACTTCTATTGTTCAGAACCTGATTCTGATGTGAAAGCACAGACTTAGTATTTTTCGATGGAAATTGGAAATTCTTGCTTTGTGCATCTTAATTTCACACCTCTATCTCCCATCCTGCTCACGTCCAGAGCATGTAGTCTCTTCATCTTCCATGTAAATTCTAGTGATATATATTCCATCTTTGATAATAGCACAGAGGATTTGTGCATCCAAAGCTCTGCATTGTGGAGGAAGGGGCCTTTCACTGCAACAGAAACTGCAGCAGTGTGTGGACTGAGAGGTTTAGGGGAAAGCTTGCTCAGCCTCTTCTACTGTTGTGGCAGCTTTACGGGTGATGGGAAACTTTATGGAACAATGGCAATAAAGTGTTGAACAAGTATAAGTAAATTGGCAGCTCCTCTTTCCTTACAGACTGGTGATGCTGTGATTATACACTAGTTGCCAGTCAACTGTTGGTCTTCTCCCTCAGATGCCACCAGGAGATTTTATGCCACAAATTCTTGCTAGTTAAGAAATTACCTGTAGAATAATGTTTCAGGACTCATCATGAGTCCATTTTGGTTTCCAAGCAGCAGACTAGTGCACAAATCTGGATTTTGGTGCTCACATTTCCCTCTGTGTTACAAAAGCCAGTTAGTTTTTGGTATGCACTTATAATACATACGGAGGTTTTTCTTCAGAAGTCTGAGTAATGATGTGATGTTGTGGCATAGCCTCTTCCATTGTTCATGAGTAGATCTTAAATCTCGCAGTTTGCTGCTAGTACCTGTTCTGTAATTGCAAACCCGACAATGCCACTCTGAAATAGTTGTCAGATCTGAATTAGTTACTGTTTGCTTTGTGGTTTTTTTTTTTTCCTAAAAGGTGTGGTCATTGTCAAAGACTAACCCCTGAGTGGAAGAAAGCAGCAACAGCACTAAAAGTAAGTTTAACCTTTCAAGTATGCTTGTGGCAGTGGATTGAGGAGAGTTTAGCTGTTTGTCATCTGGCTTGCGAACGCAGGGGTGGGGTTTGGTCCTCAAAACCATATCACTTTATTCATGCTTGTCCAGCTAGAGAAGTGGCCAGTCAGAGCCACGTAAAGTCAGGATTTTTGTGGGTTTTTTCTTTTCTAAAAGAAGCCATTGAGTTGTACAGGAAGCAAGTCAGTTCTGTCCTTGGGTTCACGTTACTGTTTCCAGGGCTGTTTTTTTAGCAGCACCAGAAGACATAAGAATCCAGCCATCCCTGAAAATAGCATGTTTCTCTTTTCTTCCTCGCTGTCCTGTCACCTGCCTCTGAAGTACAAGAACAGCATGAACTGAATATTTGACAACAGCTTTGTAAGCTGTTGGTGATGAGTATTTCTTTAATTACGGAAAGCTTGGTCATGCAGTGATTTGCTGAGCTCCTGCCTATGTAAAATATCTTCCCCATCCTAAAAAAAAAAAAAAAACCAAACCCCAAACCAAATAAAAATAAAAAAAACCCAACAAAAACAAATAACCCCCCCCCAAACCAACAAAAAAAAACCCAGAAAAAAACAAAACCAGCCATAAAAAAAACCCCACCAAACAATTTTAAAATTAGTTTGTCAGGATGAATAAAAAACCAGACATATGTGACGTTCTGCAGTTAAATGCTTTAGGGGGGATAACACCTGTCCTCTAGTGACTGTTTGCTTACCCTCCTAATAACTTTCTGTCTCCCTAGCATTCACAGAGTATAGAACGTGTTAAATTGCTGTAGAAGTCTTGTCTTAATTCTTGTTTTTATTTCCACAGGGTGTAGTGAAAGTAGGTGCAGTAGATGCAGATAAGCATCAGTCCTTGGGTGGACAGTATGGAGTCAGAGGGTTTCCAACTATCAAGATATTTGGAGCCAACAAAAACAAAGCAGAGGATTATCAGGGTAAATGTGATGCTTTTTCACATGTTGCATGTCTAAAATTTTCCCTGAATGCAGTAATTATGGTAGCTGTTAATGCTGTCTTCTGTGGTACTTACTTCCTGTCAGGTGCTTGTAGTAACTGAGAGACAGATGTGTGGGACTTGTTTGATCAAATTGTCCATCTTAGCATTGGCTAACAGTCCCACCTGCAGTTTGTAGTTGATGGAGGCTGATAGGCAGTTCCAAAGAATTATTCCTTTCTTCCTGTTTACTGGGAGCTTGCCACAGTCACCCCCTATCAGATAAGGCAGTTAGTTACCAAGCCGCAGGATTGACTTCACTTTTTAAGTCTGAGGATGATGTCCCACCACTATCATTCATAGCCCAGTCCTGCTTTTCCTGAAAAATCCTTAGGGTGAGGGAGTATTAAGTTTGTAATTAAGTCAGAGGCCTACCTTAAATTGGCCTTTTGATGCTTTAAACACTGATTTTTGCTGTGTTGCAGGTGGCAGGACAAGCGATGCCATTGTTGATGCTGCTCTAAGTGCTCTTCGGTCCCTGGTGAAAGACCGTCTTAGTGGCAGAAGTGGAGGATATAGTTCTGGGAAACAGGTATTTGAGGGAATATGTGGATTTGTTGTCAGCTGGAGGCTGTCCTGTACAGGAGATCAGAGCTTGTGCTCTTGACTGTTTACGGAATAGTTGAAATTGGAAGGGATGTCTGGAGGCTGCGTAGTCCAGCCCTCTGACCAGTGCAGGGTCAACTAGAGCAGATTGCTCAGGGCTCTGTCCTGTCAAGTTGTATCTCCAAGAACTGAGACTATACACAAGACTCTGCTCTTTGGGCAACCTGTCCTAGTGTTTGACCACCCTCACAGTAGAAAAGTTTCTCTTAAATTAAATTCTTGTATTTCAACTTATGGCCTTTTTGTGCTGTCACTGGGCATTGCAGAGAAGAGTCTGCCTTTGTTTTCTTTACTCCCCACTGCTTGGCTATTTATACACATGGGTAGGATCCACACTGAGCCTTCAGTCTTTCCAGCTGAGCAATCCCAGCTTTCTCAACCTCTCATCATATGTCAGATGCTTAAAGCCCTTAATTGCTTTGACCATTGGCTGGACTTGCTCCAGTGTGAGCAAACCCATTATACTGCTGAGCCCAGAACTAGACCCAGCACTCCAGATGTTTCACACAGTGCTGAGCAGAGGGGAAAAAATCCCCTCCCCAGACCTGCTGGCAACTTTCTGCCTAAAGCAGCTCAGGAGGCTGTTGGCTGCCTTTGCCAAAGGGGTGCATTGCTGGCTCATGTTCAACTTCGTGTCCGCCAGAACCCCCAGGTTCCTCTCTGAAAAGCTGCTTTCCAGCTAGTCAGTTTCTAGTATGTACTGGTGCGTGGGGTTATTCTTCCCCAGGCGCAAGACTTTGTGTTTCTCCTTGAACTCTGAGGTCCCATTCTCCACCTGGTTGATGTACTATTTGCCTAGTGATAGTCTAAGCTAGATGGATGTGGCTTTTTTAATTTGGTAGTGTTCTGAAGTTAGCTTGCTGGATTTCTCTCCAAAGGTAAATTGAAAAGCTTCTGGCTGCTATCTAAATCATGGATCAAGTATATTCCGACACCCTCAGGTTGGCCAGATAAAAGACCTGGGTGGACCGTACCCTATAGTGTGTACTGCACTCACATGTTTGTTTTGCCTAGAAACAGGGCACAGTGGGTTGGGGGGGTTGAAGAGCACTTTGTTCTCAGACAGATCAGAGTATGAGGAACTAAGAAAGTGTTCCCACATCTTCTTGTTAATCAGTTTGACCTGATTTTTTTTTTTTCTTTTAAGAGAAGGTTCACTTGCTGTTTCTTGAAAGTGCTGTGAGAGTAGGCTGTGTGTATGATTGCTTCTAAATGGGAAAGTTGTATGACCTAACACTGCCTGGTTTGTATCTCATTCAAATAAAGACCATTTGGTACAACATGACACACAGGAGATGGCTTGTGTGGGAAGCTAATTTTGGTTACTTATGTGAGGGTCTGTTTGTTTCTTACAGAGCCGAGAGAGCGGAGGTGGAGATAAGAAGGATGTGATTGAGCTGACTGATGACAGCTTTGATAAGAACGTCATAAATAGTGACGATGTGTGGATGGTGGAGTTTTATGCCCCATGGTGTGGGCACTGCAAAAAGTAAATGAGGTTTTTCTTTGACGGTTCAGTTCCCATTAGAGCTTGTTTTTGTGCAATACCCTTAATCCCCTAAAAAGGGACCTTGCATCCCTAGTATATCAGAAGTGGGGTTTTCTGTAAGGTGTCTTAACAAACTGTGTGGGTTTCTCTTGCTCAGGGCACCTTGGTGCTGCTCTGGCTATGCTCCTCGTTAGCAGTAAAATTCCCAGTTAACAGTTGAAGATCCAGAAGGTATATTGACTTTTTCATTCCTTCAGATGCAGGACTTCAGTCTCATTTAGAATAACCCTCCTAGCTACCATTCTCTGCAGAGGTTTTATTTTTTTCGTGACTGAAGTATGCTGTGTAATGTTGGAATGTGGTGTACTTTTTCTAGCTCTAAGAGCTCAGAGCGCTCATACTCTTTGTTTTTCAGCCTGGAGCCAGAATGGGCAGCTGCTGCCACTGAGGTGAAGGAACAAACAAAGGGAAAAGTAAAACTGGCTGCAGTAGATGCAACAGTCAATCAGATGCTGGCAGGCCGATACGGGGTGAGTGTGCTCTGCAGTGGTTATAACTTCTTTTCCATCTTTAGTAAGTCCATCTCTAAGATTTCCCTTTAATGCTTACTGAACTGTTCCTTAATCTGGTACCACTTAAATGTGTTGTGCTATAAATAATGTTAAGTGACACATACCACTTTTCCAGAAATAATTCATTCCTGAATGTCAGTAACAATATAAATAAATGGGGTGAGAGGAAAGGAATAAATCTGTATGTTGCTGCTGAAAAGGGCTGTTTATTTCTGTAAGGTCTTGTATAGCTTTATCATCTGAAGTGAGAGGTGTCTCCTTTCAGACTGTAAGCTGGCTGGGCATCTCCAGAAAACACACGTGTACCTGTACATCTTGGAGCTAGTTGCCAGGGATCACTCAGACAATATTAGCTGCGCAGATCAGCTATGCTGTGGGTCCAAAGTGAACTGATATTATTTAATTTTTAATACAGTACAGGGAGCTTACAAGGAAACAAAGTAGCACGCAGCTGGCAGTCAGCAAGAAGACTGAACAAGTTTTTCTAGAAGTGTAGCAGAGGGATCTTAAGGTCTATTTGGTAGCAAGTAGGCACAGTGCTGTGTCCCCACAGACAAATCGGGGAAACTAGTGTCTAAGAAATACAACAAGTAAAGAAAGTCCTGCTGGTACTTAAACCTGCTTGGTGCATCTAAACTGAGATGAAACTATTGCTGATACTAAAACTTGAAACAGTGTTTCAGTGTGTGTTACCCTTTTTTTGAATTGTTGCATGAGTAGGAAGCTACAAAATTGTTCCAGTTCAGTCATAATGTGCTTTGAGACTTGATTCATTGAGATGTTAAACCTCTTCCCTTTCTCTTAATCTAGAACAGGTCAGAGTAGCAGATAACTTCCACCATAAATATTCAGATTTATTTGAGCTGATGACATAAACTTGTCTTGCAGATTCGTGGATTTCCCACAATTAAAATCTTCCAGAAGGGAGAAGACCCTGTTGATTATGATGGTGGCAGAACTAGATCTGATATCATTGCTCGTGCTCTGGATCTGTTTTCTGATAACGCACCGCCACCTGAGCTCCTGGAGGTACATCTACATCATTTTCTCAAATTGCTTTTCCATCATATCCTTTGCAGCAGTTGTTACACGACTGTGTTAACTACATAAAACAGCTGAAGTGTGCTGCTTGTACCCTGTTTTGCACCAGAATGTCAAAGATAACAAGCCTGATCATTCAGCTTTCCGTTATTTTTTTTTACTGTGAATTTGTTGACTGAAAGATTATCAGAATTGATACAGTGAAGACACTGACAGGATGGTGCCAGCATGTCTGAATCCTCTCTTGAGGAACAAGTGAAAAGCTTGGGTTCTGTGCCCCATCTTTTTTTTTTGCCTTTTTTTTTTAACAAGAAGGCAGGGTTTTGTCATTTGTAAACCATCTATTAACCAGTTGCATGATGACTAATCTTGCTTGTTGTCCAAAAAGCTTCAGTGTCTGTATGGTGACCTCTAGTTTTCAGCTTGATGTTGGTAGATGGGAAATGGTGATTAGTTGTCCCCAAAGGGAGGTGCGTGCAAGACCCCATTGGGGGTCTTGCAAGAATCCATTGGGTTGCAGGAAGATAAAAAACAAAAGTGCTATTAAAAAAAAAAAAATTAAAATGGTGTTTATTTCATCTGTCATCCTTTAAAAATATCTATTTTCTGTATGCCTTATGGACATAATGTTAATACAGTAGTATATGTGTATAATTGATATACATATATTCACAGAATCACAGAATGGTTAGGGTTGGAAGGGACCACTGGAGATCATCTAGTCCAACCCCCCTGCCAGAGCCGGGTCACCTACAACAGGTTGCACAGGACAGCGTCCAGGCGGGTTTTGAATGTCTCCAGAGTGGGAGACTCCACAACTTCTCTGGGCAGCCTGTGCCAGTGCTCCACTACCCTCAAAGTAAAGAAGTTCCTTCTCATGTTAAGATGTTATTGGGGCTGTGTGCTTAGAAATTTTTTTACTGGTAGCAGTGCACAGTCAAAGTTTGAAGACCACTGATGTAGATAGATGTATTGATTCCTTTTTAAGATAGATCACATGAAACTGGTATTGGTCTGTTAATGTCAATTAAATGTCCTCATCTTCAGCAAATCTGCACCCTGCTGGCTCTCCTTATGCTAGCAGTACCATGAATGAAACCTATAGGCATATGCATAGGTCAGGGTGTGCTGTTTCCAGCCCTGGTCCGAGGACAGTGACTTTGAGCAAGAAGTGACATCTTACTGTGCTCTCTGAAAGCCTTATTTGGTATTGCTTACTTTCCTTTTGCTGCAAGTCTCAGCAGAAGACTCTGTGAACTCTCTGTAATTAGCCTTGTGGTGGGGGACCAGTGAAGTAGGAGAGGCTTGTAAGCTTTTGTGTCAAGCTGTTTCAATGCTTATTACCTTGTAGGATGGAGTTGATAGGCTATTGGAGGGAAGTAGAGTCACAGCTGGGTAACCAAGCTTTACTCTCACTGACTTTCTGCCACTTTCTTCTAGATAATTAGTGAAGACGTTCTGAAGGGTACTTGTGATGCTCATCAGCTCTGCATCATTTCTGTCCTGCCTCATATTCTTGACACAGGTAGGCATATAAGCAAGCACGCTTCTGTATGAATTTGGCACTTAAAGCATGTAGCTGTGGGGTTTTTTTTAACTTGTCTGATCCTGTCTAACAAACAGGAGCTTCGGGGAGAAATTCTTACCTGGATGTCATGTTGAAAATGGCTGAAAAATACAAAAAGAAAATGTGGGGGTAAGTGTCACTATAGACTGGTCTTCTTGGAAAAGATGTGAGCATTTTTAGAGGTAACAGGAAAGAATTTGTATGACAGTGATTTATCTGCAGACAAGAGTTGTTCCTTGTTCAGGATAGTATAGCTTGGTGTTTCACTAACTGAGTGGGAGGGGATGCTGTGGCTTTAGAATAAACTGATTTTTTCTTTTGATCTATCTCTCAAATCCTGTGTTTCCAAGTGATATCTGAGTATTAATGAGATCAGATTGGGCATATTTTACTCTTGTCCTGAGTGTTAAAATATTTTAGGGCAATGTTTATCCAGCTTCTTTTAGAAATGATGGGTAATTTATTAACAATTTTCAG